GTCAATGAAAATAATTCTCACACTTTTTTGTTCTTTTTTTAAAAACAAAATTAATGTATAAAATTTAGATCTCAATAAAATCTAAATTATTTAACATTTTTTGTATCACTTGAGAAAATTAATTATGAAGGTTTTATATTTAACAATAATCAGCTTCGCTCTACTCAGGCAATGCCTGTTACATATTATAGAGCGAAGCTCTAAAGCACGGTGCGAAGCGCGGTGCTTGAGCAAAGCTCTTTTCCGGTAACACAGGAGCGTAATTGAAAAAAATGTCACCCACAGACTGTTGATTAAAAAAAAATTCAGACCGGAACCGGATACACTGGGTAAAACAGGCAATGCGCATGTCAACTTACCAAATCTCGGCCAAACGAGATCACGTAACTAACAAAAATAATTCTACACACCAAATCTCGCCCAAGCGAGATTACGCGCCTCATAGAACTATTTCTATGACGCGTCTATTCACTGATGTCACATATTTTTTAAAAACAAAATTAATGTTAAAATTTAGATCTAAATAAAAATCAATTGAGAAAATTAATTATAAGTGTTGTATATTTGACAATAATCAGCTTCGCTCTACTCAGGCAATGCCTGTTACATATTATAAACAATCATGAATCGTGACGACGAATTAGGATTAATTTAAAAAACATAGATATGGACCATGAAGAGAAAAATTTTACAATAAAAATAATAAGAGTTTTGGATACTGAAATGGTATGCAATCAAATGGATTATTTAAAATTGCATTCTTAAATTAATTTCATGGGCGTCACCATCTTGTTTTAGGACGAGTTACCTCCCTTAGACTTTTTTTGTTATAATAATGTAAAAGTACGGATAATCTAGCCAATGAACTATTATTCTCAAATGTTGACAACGCATCCAGATTTATATTCGTATAATATTTTTCTAGATGATAAAGACTACGCTAGCCTACGATATTTACTGGATTAGGATCCGATTTTCTGCTCAACTTTCATTCATGATTAAATCATGAATTAGATAATCGAGACTATGTGTTTTATCGTACCGATTTTAGTAATAATGATCGAGGCTAGACTGAAAATTCAATCGCTAAATTCTCGGTTCGGATTGGATCAACTTGACTGAAATTGTCAGCAAATACCTATACATTATCTAGTTTTTAACTATTATAGTGAGAACTGCCAGGTCTTTATCTTATCTTCCATAATCTATCTTTAATATATTTATAACTATAGGCACAATTAGATCCAATATACTCATCTTGGGAACTACCTTCACAACCCCAACCTTAAGAAAAGAATTACGCAATTTAATGGTATCAAGTTTAGCATTCGGTGATTTGTTGTTAGGACTGACAGGTATACCGCTGTAAATTGATTTCACAATCCATGATAAGATAACAGTGGGGTGTCGAGTTCGTGTCGTATTACAAGTGTTGGTACTTCATGGTCACGTTATGATTACGAATTTAGGACTATTAATTATAAACATAGACTACGTCATCAAACAATGCCACATTTTAACCCAGCTATCAAACTTCCGGTTTATATTGCATTGTCTTTGATGCCATGGTTAGCCATGTTTATCTTACCACCATTAATACAATTGGCCTGCATGAGCATGTTGTTTACATATGGTCGGATACCAGGTGTCCACTGAGAATTTATAAATGGGCAAAGGTGACGTTGAATACTTTGTGTTATTTCGTCCCTTTGCTTCGCATTATCATTACCACGTGTTTAATTATGTAAGGCTTTGTGGCTCAATGTAAAGGAAACCTTGCGTTTCGTCTAACATTGTTGAACGAAGAAAAGCCAATGTTTCACCCCAAGTTTATTACTGTTGCTAACGTTCTCTGTTTGTTGCTACTGTTACCAGAAAATGTAGTTTTCGTTCTTGCCGCGAGTAAAGGTGTTGCTTTACCTGTAGTAAGTGAATGAAGCATTCAGAGACAGTGCAGCCTTTCTTACCGGAGAACATCCACAGATGCCCCACAGCATGTCGTAAACAAAACATACAAAGAATTCGTGAAAGATGCAGAAACCACAGATTAATCTTTACGCCAATAACAACATTGCTTATCGGGAATTAAATGGATCACTTTGGTTGTCACAACAATGCCACTATATGTATTCGTTTACATCTACGTGTCTCTGACGATAATGTGTAATAGATTTTAATCACTGTGCTTATCGGTAGTGTAAACAATAAAACACCCATATCCACACCAACTTTATTGTACAATCCCAGATTTAACATAAATTATTACCCCATATAGACTAATATAAACAATTTAGTATAAGTTGTTATTGTGTTTTATATATACAGACCGTTTGCTTTACATCACGTTTTTACATTATATCAAAAGGGGGTTACTCATTACACAAACAGAATGTGCTGCCCGAGATTGTTCAAGACCGTTTCTCAGTTGCCAGGCAAGAGTTTTGGTGACCACTGATTTAGCATCATAAATATGATTCCATGGGGGTACAAAAAGCCAATATGTATATCGTTTGGAGTGGTTTTCGCTTTTGGGATGTGTGAATTATACCAAAGTCGGTTATAGCATTGAGGCTGACAAGGAAAATGTTAATATTCGTTTGATTGGTATTTCACGTGCAAGATACCTCGATAGTTGATATTTGAAGAATACTAGATTGAAACGGCGCAACATTGACACCCTGGGACCTAAAATTACCCAATATCAGTGTCGGAATGACCCAAATTTACACGGAGCTTAAAGCAACATTCCATACCAAAACAATGAACCACACAAAGTGTATATTTTGTAGTTTGCTTTCAGAACGCCATTATATTTTTGGCCTTAATACTAAATATTTCCAAATATAGTAACTGGTTGCTAGAATTAATGTTCCTCATCAGATTCTATGGATCCATTTCGATGACTGGGTGACCATCGATTGAACGCCTGTTTCTTTGGTTTATATGCTAAAGGCAAGTGGGGGGTTGGATGGCCGAATGGTTAGCACGTGCGTGCTGTATCATAAAGCCTGTCATTGAGTCAACTGGCGTGGTTTCGAATCCCCGGTTGTACGTGACAAGGAGTAGGGTCGCCTATCCAATCTCGTGGGTTTTCTCCGGGTCCTCCGGTTTCCTCCCACTGCTAAAGACCCCTAGCGCAAGCGAATTATTGAAATAAAATTAAAACCATATGTTAGTCCCGAAATGACCTAGTTTGTGTCGAGTGGACGTTAAACCCCAATTCTCTCTCTCTCTCTCTCTCTCTCTCTCTCTCTCTAAAGGCAAGTCGTTTGACTGCTCTGTAACCTCTCAATTTAGAATAAAGCAAAGGATAAGACATATACTTCCGTTACCGGCAATACAGGGATACAACTTTGGAAGAAAATATTCCTCTGAAATTGATAGTGAGCCAAAATATTTCAAAACAATTGGATATAATCTGCATCCTGGATGAGTTCACAAGGTTTCGTAACAAAGAGGCATAGATTTTATATATTTGGCCAACTGAAAATTGCAGTCTTGGTAGTATTAACAAAAACTGTGAATGACCGAATAAACGAACGAACAGTGTGGCTACGAAACCATTAGTTTTTGTCTGGTTGGGTTGCCAAAAATTGAGAATAACTAGTTTATTGGCTAGATTATAAGGTCTTGTATGCTGTCATGTACAAAATCCACTTTTTCCGACAGAGAGCGTACAAAGGGAGGTAAATAGCCCTAAAACAGAATGTCGACGTGCATGAAATTAATGGCTATTTCCGAAAAACTTATTTGCATTGCCTATTTAACATCTAACACGTGTAATTATTTTATTGTAAATTTTTTATCTGCAAGTATCATAACTATGGCTTTTATTAAACCTAATTCGACAATTTCGGGAAGGGGTGCAAGTCTGTCTTGGCTTTAATTAAAAAGTTCCATTTCCCATACGTAACCGAAAGGTTGTTTTTAAATAGTTGACAATCCAGGAGCGTTTGGGCAAATTTGGACAAATGGCTAAGATCCGCTGTACGCTGAAGACTCAGGGTTTCTGGGTGTCCGAGACGTCTGACGTCTGAATGTGGACGTCTGAAACTAATCTCAAATATAAGCCTCTACAATTAAAGAAAACTTTGATCATAGCCTTTTCCTCAACAATAACATACTTTACAAGAATGTGAAAACTTGATCATTAGTCATCTGTAAACATGATACATATGCAGACAGGGTTCAGTGGAAAATATCCGCGAAAGTCTATTTGGGGAAGAATGTCAAGGTTGATTTGCTTGTTTAGAAAATTGTCAAATCAGTTTGAAGTGGCATCCTGACATGCTTCACTGCAGCATTTTACACAATACTATACAATGTTATATTATTACAATTTAACTGATAGAATGTCCATGCAGCGCGCTAAAAGCTGCTTCCCAAAAGTCAATTTACTCATTTCGTCTCCATGGCATTATCTATTTTATCATTAAACACATATATCAGGGCCGGCGGAAGCAATTCTTGATTGGGGGGGGGGGGGCTTCCATCCTAGGTCCTTAAAGGCAAGGGTCCCGGGGCCGCAATAACCTGAAGAAAAGAGTACTTGCGCCCCCCCCCCCCCACTGCACCGGGCCTGTATATGGTCGCTGTGTTCTAATCTACTTAGAATCGGAGACGTATCCGATAGTCTAGAGGATTGATTATGGGCTTGTCAGAAAAAAGACCTGCAATAGGAAGATTTAGCTCTTACATAATGTATCCTTAATACTGTCTTCATTAGCTGGGATGGTGCAGAAATTAGGCGGTCAAGCCCCATTTTAAACGATTGAATATCAGTATACCTATAAACATAATATTCAAGTAGAAAGATTTGTTTCAGTCTAGGAACTCACGTGTATGTATCGTGCTAAATATTTTATTGACTAATTAGTACGTACATGTAATCAACAGCATACCAGAAACAAGATATCTCTTATCATCGTCATTTGAGTAAAAATCAAATTAAAGACCATGACACTATCTAATATACTACATCTCACTATACAATACTACAAGCAATTTGAACTGACTCTAATCTAAATCATACAAGGCCGCCTAATAATTATCGTGGCACTTAATTTGTGTTTAATGTAACAACATCATCGTTTAAAGACAGTTCTCGTTGAATATTGAAGGTCCGTGAATAGCGTTAGGCCATACCGCTAAAGGTAAGAATTACTGTTTTGTGCTTCTTTCCAAATCTGACGTTAACAAAACCTGCCTTCTTACTGAAAATGTACTGGTCGTTTAATGTAAACGTTGCTGTTGAGATTCGTTCTAGTTTCCGGAAGAGCTGTGGGGTTCAGTGGGTAAAAAGGCTGACTCGCTAACGAAGAGGTCTCGGGTTCGTTCCCGGTGTTGGAGGAGAATGATCCTCTGGAACCACTCGACATTGGAAATCCGAATAAAGAGTAGACCGTAGCGCTGCTGTCCGGGCATAATTTCCCTTATAGCACTTGGTATGGTGTATGCCCAGTCGGTGCAGAAAAGTAGGGCGTTCCATTTCATTTCATTTTCTAATTTCCCATGGGATATTGACACTATGTTGAATCCATCATGTCTGGTCGACTTTACTCCCATGCCTCTAGATATTAGTAACGGGGGTTGTGGGGTCTTGGACGAAACAGAGATGTTGTGTAGTTAATGTCCACGTATAGCCTTCCACGCAGAATCCTTGGGATAAAAAATTTGACCCAATGGATGTTATGAGCGTAATTGATTTAAAGGGCGTATGGCTCTATTTTTTTGGAACTTTGAATTAGTTATTTATATTTAATTCTTGAAAAGAATATTGTAATTTCTAATCAATTATGTTCGGTGAAATACTTTAACAGTGCAAATTGCACGGCAGTCATCTATGCCTGCTTAGTGCATTCTACACGTTTTTAAAATTATTATTTTGTCGTTTGTGAATCAACCTTTACTAATTACTTCCGCATTGCGTTGTGGGATATGTTTTTATTTGTTCATTACAAAATGGCACCCGAAACCATAGGGTACACGACGCGACTCGTGTACTGATTAGAAAATGTTAATTGTGGCTTGGATATTAGGATCCTATTTTATCACAGCAAGATAACAAAATCAATATTGATTGAAATTGATCAATATTGAATTCTAATTCTTGTTTTTAATTTCGAATATTATGGAAAATATTGAGTTAGAGACTTACCGCCTTTAAAGCTACACGTGCTCGTTGTATCATAAGGTCTGTCATTGAGTCGATTGGCGGGGTTTCCATTCTCGGGTTGTAGTGACAAGGAGACGGGTCGCCTGTCAAACCTCTTGGGTTTTCTCCCACTGCTAAAGACCCCTACGCGCAAGGGAATTATTGAAATAAAATTGAACCATGTGTTAGTCCCGAAATGACCTAGTTTGTGTCGAGTGGACATCGACATTTTTGATAAAAATCTGGCGGCTATACCGTAGATTGCAAAGTGGTGGAAATTTCAACTTGGAGGACATGTAGACATGTTTTGTTCTGTCAGGAAAAAGGAGCACAAACGCGAAGAGAGAAAATAGAAAAAAAAGGTACTATTAACAAGTTGGCAACACAGATCGATGAAATTTCCGTCATCATATCTTTGTAAATACTAAACGGAAGAAAGCCAATTTTGGTCTGATAACTCTATTTGAAATTATATTTTACAATATTGTATTTTGCAGGGGATTCTATATATCCCCCAAATCACACTCGTTGATTTTAATTGTAATGCCAAATTTTGTTTGAATTTTCTCAAAAAATTACACTGATTTTTTTACAGACAGGTGTCGTTGTGTCTCCATAAGGGTATACAGTAGGATGTTAAACCCCATTTCATTTCATTTCATAAGCGTATAAACACAAAAAAACATGGCGTCTCCCGCCTTGATCACAACGTAAATATATGACACAGCCTAATTACTTGCACATTTATCATAGAATCTAAAAACCAAATTATTTATCTTAACCAGCTTTACATGAGCAGGCAATTCAGAGATTGGTATAATGAAACCAGATGCCACGTTTCATAATGGTTTCTAAATTATAATCAGATTCATCTGTTCAAAATCATCAACAAATCAAATATCGTACATTTGCATAGTCTAAGCAGAACATTCACGACATCTAACTTAGTCTGGGTATTGATGACATAAAAGTGTACGCCATATGTGATCACTTTCACCCAATTAGTATCAGTTACAACATTTCAAAGTATTAGCCAGTTACCTCGAAATTTTAATCAGAATATTTTAACGGTCGACAACTGTCTTAATGAGAGCATGGTATTAATGCGAACATTAAATTTAAGAATGATATATTATGAGAACATGAAATTAATGAGGGCATGCAATTAGTGAGAGCATTATAATGAATTATATTAAAAGTCACCGAGCGTTATTTGAGCGATTGTCGCACTATAATATTGTGAAAGTCGGATCTCAAAAACGAATATCAGCCTAAATATGGTTCAATCAGGTTCAATATTTACAAAGATATGATTTGAAAATTTCACAAAATCTGGCATCCTGTCAACGATATTTTACAAGTGTTAGGTAAAATATTTTGATGGGCCTCTTATTAATCTGACTGAATCCACTACATATCACTGGCTTCTTATTAAATCACAAGGTGGTTAAAGGGTCGGGTGGCCTAATGGTTAACGCGTGCGCGTTGGATCAGAAGGTGTATCGTTGAGTCAAGTGGCATGGTTTCGATTCCCCGCTTGTACGTTACAAGCATGTCCAACCTTGTGGGTTTTCCCATGGATCCTTCGGATGCCTCCCACTGCTAAAGACCCCTACGCGCCGGCGAATTACAGAAATAAAATTAAACTATATGTTAGTCTCTCTCTTTAAATCACAAATATTTTACCGATCGTGTATATTTTCACGTGAGATGACCATTTTTCGTTCAAGTATTCCCTCAGGAGCATTTGAACGTGGTGCGAGTTTTCTTTCTTACATTACTTAGGCTTATCTAATCTAATAGTGATCTAATCTTAGGTCACTTAATAAATCATTTACTCTGTGGCCGAACGGTTGAGTCTCCGATTTATCATTTCTTTTAAAAAATGTCCTTGATGATTTTATACACTTAATCATACATTATGCAAGAGATAAATCTGCCAATTGCAGGTCATTCTTTAGGCCTGAAATATTATCTAAATTATTACATGTCATCGCTAGCCTGCGATATTTACTGGATTATAACCCAGTCTGCTGCTCAACGCTCATTCATGATTGAATCAAAAATGGATAATCGAGACCATGTTTTTTTATCGTACCGACTTTAGATGATCGAGGCTAGGCCCAAAATTCAATCGTTAAATTCTCGGTTCTGAGTGGATTAATTTGACTGAAATTTTCAGCAAATTCCGTTTACATTATCTAGTTTTAATTATTATTTATCTTTTATCTTTTTCAGAGTATGGCTATGTATAATAATTCAACAAATTTTAATGTATCCAGTGGAAATATAACAGGAATGGGTGTGAATAATGTTGCCTTCTATCGCATGATCTCTAAAGTATCAATAACATTCAATGTATTATTAGCTATAGGCATCATTGTCTCCAATATACTCATCTTAGGTACTGTCTTCACAACCCCAACTTTAAGAAGAGAATTACGCTATTTAATGGTATCAAGTCTAGCATTCGGTGACCTGTTGTTAGGGCTGGCAGGTGTACCGCTGTATATTGATTTTACAATCCAGGAGAAGATAACTGTGGCTTGTGAAGTTCATGTCGTATTGCAAGTGTTGGTAATTCATGGTCACGTTATGATTACGAATTTAGGACTACTAATTATAAACATAGATTACGTCATCAAACAATACGACTACACAATGCCACATTTTAACCCAGCTATCAAACTTCCGGTTTATATCGCATTGTCTTTGGTGCCATGGATAGTCATGTTTGTTGTTATACCACCATTAATTACAACTGGCTTACATGAAAATGTTGTTTACATATGGTCGGATACCATGTGTCCCGTGCTGCTTTATACATGGGCGAGATTGACGTTGAATATCCTGTGTTTTTTCGCCCCTTTGCTTGGCATGATCATTACCACGTGTATAATTATCTATGGCTTTGTGGCTCAAAGTAGAGGAAACATTGCGTTTCGTCCGACACTGTTGAACGACGAAAAGCCGATGTTTCACCCCAAGTTTATTATTGCTGTTAACGTTCTTTGTTTGTTGCTACTGTTACCAGAACATATCGTACACAGTAATATTGGGTTTGCAGACTTCAAAACGTTCATCGTAGCGTATATGGTTTCTTTCTTATTTGCCATGAGTAAAGGTCTTGCCTTACCTATAGTATGGCTTCTTGTACCGGAAGTGAATGAAGCATTCCGAGACAGATGTAGCCTTTCTTATTGGAGAACATCATCGGATGCCCCACAGCATGTCGTAAACAAAACGTACAAAGAATTCGTTAGAGAAGCAGAAACCACAGATTAATCCTTACAAGAAGAACATTGTTTACCGGAAATTGACTGGGTCCCTGTGGTTGTCAGAAAGACAGAAGAATGACGTTGTCGATTTTAAAATGGGTCTAGACTGCTCTTGATATTCATTATTAAATATGTTCCATTATAGGGTTGTGTTTGGAATGTATCAATAGAGTTCCCCCGAGTTATTACCCCTGTGTTATTCCTTATCTGGTAAAATGGAAAGAAGCCAAAGCTGGACTATATGAAGGCATGAAAAACTACCCTTTTGTAATTTTAATTTCACCCCATTATAATTTTTATACTCATTCTATCACATTTATTTAAAACTGGTTGAAGAGTGTCCGTATACTGTCACTGAAATATGCCTTATTTGCATTTTGTGTTCATAAAATTTATTGAAACCACCTTTAAACCTTTACGTGTTCTGTCATTGGTGAATTCGGAAAATATGTGTTATTTGGTTCTTTTTATTTATTTATATTTTTCTTTTTTTTGGCGAGGGTGTTGGGGTGGGGTTGGGGGGGGGGGGGGTAAAAATATTAATCTATGTATGCCAATTTGTATATACATACAGGGGAATTTGGGGTTATTCTTCTGAACATTTTTCTTTAAACCTGTAACGCGATATTCTTCCAGGGTTGATTTTTTTCCATAAGAAAACATGATATAAGGTTCTTCTTACGGGAATTCTGGGATATTCTCATTTTGCGTATATGTAAACATATAAGGTTTATAAGCAAGATAAAGTCCTCGACTTCGGTTATGCTGGGGAAGAAAGACTTCAGAAAAACGACTTAATATTTTGAGCTGAAATTTTGAGACAAGGTAAATGCATCATTTCATTCCTCTTTATTTTGGCGCTTAAATTTCATACGTACATGAACTTTTATTTCTGAGACTCTGTTAAAATCGGGATGGTCCCTTTAAGTAATTGTCAGAAATCATATGAAGTTGTTTGACTTCTATTTCTGCCCAATACTAACGATGCCCCCCCCCCCCCCTAAAGCAATGTGTGAACAACAATATATTACGTACCGTACAAAATAATGTATTGCTACCTGTTACCGGCAAAGTGGTAAAGCGATTCCGGGTGATAAAGGGCCCGTGATAAGACTGCCTCTCCACCCATTTTCATTCACTCGTTTAACTTCTTACACATACAAAGACTCCAGTGGGTAAGCCAGTTACCGACCACGACCTCTGTCTCAGTTGATAACCCTTACTGATTGTTTCTCATCTCAGTGACGTTTCTGTTAAGCGTTCATACTATCGACTTTCGTTCCAACAAAAGCTAGCCACGTCCCACAGTGTCCATTTTATTTAATGTGATTTTCAGTACAGTTCATATTTATTATTTGTTAACATATCTAACTTTAAAGTAAAATTGTTCCGATCACAGGGGGTAACATATAACACTAGAGTGATTCATGACCCCGCCCCACAAAAAAATCCCAAAAGCAGACAATATTTGGGATTTATTTTAACATTATTTCATACGACCTACCATAAAAACTCCATTCATCACGTTTGAATTTAGAGGATATAACAATTTGTGCATTTTTTAAAAAAATGTTCAAAATCTGACCGGGTTCCATGACCAAGGCAATTAACTCTTTTAGTGACAAATCGAGTTAATCGCCTTGGTCACATAAAAATTTTAACGGTTGTTGTTGTAAAGAATACTTTTGTATGTCGCTCGGATTTCATCGATAATTTACTAGCTACTGAATGCACTCTATTGGACGATTGAATTTAAAATATAAGCATGCGCATAGCTTAGGGTTTTTTTAATAAGAGGCCAAGTAAATAAAGATTTTTATAATACTATACACGTTCAGGTGAATATGAAAAGATCAAGAAGCCTGATAAAATAAAACTTTTACATTTTATTGTTAGTCTCCTAGATAGATACATATATTGTGCAGCATAATGTATGCTGTATAATGTACAAGGAAAATATTCTTGAATTATTAATAATACAATAACAATCGGATTTTGCAGTCATTTGATGGTGATTTGAAAGTTAAGTTGGTGTACATTAACACCAAATCCATTAACGTTCGCTCAGGTTGCAGGTTCATAGACGTACGGGCTCGATCGGTATGTTTTGATGGATTACCCGTAAATAAATCCCGCCCCGCAGGCCCCAGACATGGCGACGGGATTTATCAATCAATTTGAAAATTAGAAGCCCCAAACGCGTTTATTCCTGTAATTGAAAGTGTCCTAATATAGCCATATTTTTATGGTTTTACAACTGAAATCCCACTCGATGCAGGCCTGAATCCGAATAACAAATCAGACTGTATACATGCATTTTCTAACCGCCAAGAAAGGGTCAACGAACATTTCTACGCATGAAGCAGTAGCAACCATACCAAGAAATTTTTTTCTAGAGTTACCTTCTCATTTAGGAAAGAACGTTCCTTGCTCGCTATGATTTATTGAGACTTTCTGAATCTTGATGTACCTGTGAAATCAGCGCCGTACTTTCCCTAAGTGACCATAATTCCAAAGGTCATTTCCCATGTCTCATCCCGACAATTCGGTAACCTTTTTCTCTCAATCTCTTTTTGTAAATTTATAAAGTTGATATTTCGTTACTGTTTGAACATCCTTTATGACAAAATTACGTATATTACATTAGGAAAAAGAATTTTAAGTCACTCATGGGATTTTTTTTTTTTTTTATAAAATGGATGCTCCGCTGTCAAAAGAATTACATGATTATATAATCCTCAGACATCTATCAAGATGACTGAACACGCTTTCAAGAAATTTGTTATGAGGCATCGCAGAACAGCTTGATAGACTGTTACTCAGGATACTTGTTAAATTCAATGCTGTATTGTAAATCGTCGTTGGACGCCACTTTGTTGGCTCAGTCTCGGGTCAATACAGCGCCAAACAATAACTAAATAAATGCAATTTCAAAAATGGTGAAAATAATTTACACGAAAACAAAAAGAATAAGTATGTGGAAAATGAAGACTACGAATACCAGATTTGTTTCGGTTATTTTCCAGTTTCAAATTCTTTCTGGTCATTATGCTAGTCCAACCCTTAAAGTGAATTTGGATATCAAGCTCGTGCATTCCAAATGTTATTTAGCTCTCAATGGCCGTACATAAATGAAACATGTGGATACAGTCTTTTCCGACAACTCCAGTTTCATTTTCTAACTATCAAACATTTAGAAAATTCATACATTTTTAATCTGTTTAAAGTGAGTTATTGCACTATATTAGTGTTTCATTTACGCCTATCAAGACAAATTATCCGTCGGTATTAGCAAAGACCCAGGTGGGTATAACACCCTGCTTTACTGCACCAACTATGGGCTAATGGTGACAGTCGGACGCCATACAGTGTGCAATGCGGGAACTTTTGCCCGGACAGCGGCGCTACGGCCTATTCTTATATCGAATTCACAGTGTGAAGGGTTCTTTTAAGTCCACGTTAATATGTACATGGTCTCTCGGATTTTGGTCTCATCCCAAGGATTATAAGTTTTCCTTTTCCAGGCTACTAAGCAAAACACATATGAAGTCCGAGATAAGTATGGTAGTGCATTTTTACTTTTATTTGGAGTATCTTTCTAATATACATATTAAATGATAGTTCATTAATAATAACATGAGATGGCATTTTGGGACTAACATGTGATGTATTGTATTTCACTTGCGCACATGGCTCTTTAATAATAAGGGAAACAAAGAGTGGAGAAGACCCTATGGTATGAGGCATCGTATTGTCAGACACACGCGATGGTCGAACTCGTGACTGAAATAAATGAGAGACCTTTGGATCTACTAAGCACGCGCTACGTCACGCGGCCACAACCACCGGTAGCTGACAACCATCGATAATAAAAACACTGGACATATGATAGTTATAATATGGAATGGGAATATACACTTATTTCTTAAAACGGTTGTTGATAAGACGTGTAATGTTTATGGATATTTCTCTTATAATACCTTGGATATCAGTATATTTCGATTTCTTTTTGTTATTTGGGGTTTTAGTTTCGACAACTTCATAAATGTTTTCGGTAATGTCAGTGTGGATACTTGTCTGTTCACAATATTCATCCAAGTTGTCTTCAGATTCTAATTCATCGAGCCAATCTTCATCATCATTCTCATAAATATGTAACGAATGGCTACTTTTACGCAATATCGAAATCCTTTCAATGGCCGAACTTCCGGTTTGGCGAGATTCTCGTTTGTGTTTCTCCACAATCTCATATATATCTCTTGAATCCAGATAATGGAATTGACCCAATTCTCTGTATAAATCTAACAAGTCATCCTCTTCCGTTCTTTCAATGGCAGTTAAATAAGTATCATCGTTTGACAAAACTGAACAGCCACATTTAAAATGGTCCAAATCCGGGAACCAACACGATATAAAAGGAAGCAACACAATCTTGGATCGGTAAATCCAATAAGAGATTAGACTGTTTTTATGTTCGATGGAATACTGTTGAAATACATAAATGGGAAGACAAATTAACACCAGTGTTATATTTTGAATGGTTAGAACAACTAATTGTTGCTTCAGTTTATAAAATTGTCCACTTTTATCAATGACGATTAATGTGAATGGATTAGCTAAGAGACAGATAGTACATAGAATGAGGTTTAAAATAAGTAAAACACAAAATGAATAACAAAATAAGATAAGTTTGGGGGTTAGTATTGAAGATGGTGGGGATGATACCCAACATGAATTAAAGCTAAAAATCTGTATCGACATGCTTAAAATATACAGAGATAATATACCCTGTCCTGTAACCAAAACGCCCCCTAAAAGAATAAACACATTTCTAAACTGGCTTGATTTACTTCTACCGTGCCGTCGTCTTGGCTTTTCCTCTCCGAACAAAACACAATGGCATAACTTTCCAAGAAATAAAATGTTGATGAAAATCAAGTTGGAAAATGTCAGGTATTCCTCAAGCTGGAAGGTTATCTCAAAGATCATACAAGTTACATCTAAGCGAATGCCATACATTATTAGTATCATTTGTGACACTCCGGAAATCAACTGCCAGACAAAAGTAATCGCTAACAGCCGATTCCTTCCCATAAACTTGTAATTGTACCTTGATTTATAAAGACTTTGCAAAAGAACATAATTTGATATCAGTGCCAGTGTAAGATAAATAACAGGAAGCGCGTCAGCACGATAAATTACAGGATGCATATTTCTATTGAATTGGCATAACTAATGACTGTTACTGATACCAATTAGCATTCCTCTTAAGGATACCTGTGGATGATAAATGAAATTAACATCAATTAGCATCAAGAATGTGGTTGAGTAATAAATGACTACTTATCTGCTCATAATTTCATTCGAATATTTACAAATCAACATCGAATAAGGTCTTTTCTATGTATGACACAACTATTCGTCTAAACCAGAGGTTCTCAACCTTTTTAGCCAACGGCACACCTTGGAACGAATGAAAAAATCGCGGCACACCTGGCTAAATATACATGAAAAATGTTTGAATTTTGTAAAATAAAAACATGACAAGCCATAGATGGCATACAATCGTAGACACAGACTAGTCATAGACACATAGAATGACTCAAATTAAAGAAAAATACAGCTATGAACTTACCAGTTGACACCAGTGAATACTTAATTGGGATCAGGTAGTTTTTTGCATTTTCTTAGAGTACCGTTCAGGCTCACTGGTCTAAAATAATAAGGGATAAAGGCATACTGAAAAATGCTCTAGTTTAAAATTTCGTCCTTGTATTGGAGGGGGGGGGGTGTCTCACATCTTTTATATCACACCAAGGTATCCTTAACTGATTTGGTTAAGCAGACATCGGCCCCCATGTACGGCATTCTGAATATAAGGTTGGTCTTATGAAGGGTAAATCAGAACATTAAAGACGAAATAAATACAGTATATAATTCAGTGTCTATTTACCACTTATAGACCGTAATTATCAACCGATTTCAATGAAACTTACAGAATATGATATGATGAAATATATCTCGGAGCAGGCTACTTCCGATCAGCGGATTTTGAGATATCAGGTTACCCCACATTACAGGTGGCACGGCTACAGACCGCAATTATCAACTGATTGCCATGGAACGTACAGATTACCAAAGTGGGCACAATTTTGGTCACTTCCTGTCAGCGATTTCGGAGGTATAAGGTGTGTTGTAACCATATATCTTCGTACCTTGCGGATCTAAAGTGGCCAAAAGTGTGCCTACTTCGAGATATAATGAATGTTGTTAGATTAATTAAAATCGGTTAATAATTGCGGTCTGTAGCCGTACCACATCAAATGTGTGGTAACCTGATATCTCCGGAAGTGGCCTAAATGTTATCATATGTGTAAGTTTCATCTAAATAGCGGTGTGCATTTTTTTTAAAAGATGAAATAGTAGGCATGCGGAAATATTAAATATAGCATATGAAATAACCGAAACTCGTTATTACTCATAAAGGAAGTACGGTGCAGTGTATCCTCATACAAAAGGCAACAATTCGATGTTATAACTAATGAATCATCGCTTGTACGTGACAAGGAGTAGGGATTCTCCGAGTCCTTCGGTTTATTGAAATAAAATTAAACCATATGTTAGTTCCGAAATGACCTAGTTTGTGTCGAGTGGACGTTAAACCCCATTTCTCTCTAATGTATTAGTATAGTAATTGCAGGAGAACGTATTTATAATTTATATAGGAATTAATAAAATGAGGTTAACGTCCTACTTTTCTACTCCAACCAGGACACTGAAGACAGGCATAGTGTGCTATGCGAGACATTTGGGCAAGGCAGCGATTGAATTACAACTGTCAATGGCTCTTTTAGACGCCCTTCCTTGCCAACCCTCTCGAACTGCACCACTGACATGGGGAAACTCTCTTACTTACTGGGTCACCGCGGTTGTCAATCTATACTAAGCAGCAAAAGAAACGCCAGGTTGGTATGTTACTCTGAATAGACGCATGGAGAACTGTTCTGTTCACAGATGAGAGTCGGTATTGCGTATCAACTGCAGATGGTAGAACCAGAATATGGCGTCGACGTGGCCAGCTTTATACTGACCAATGTGTCATGGAACGAGACTCATGGAGAGGTCCAAGCATAATGGTTTGGGGTGGAATCGGCCCGAACCAGAGAGTAGGTCCTGTGGTGTTCCAAAATCTTGGTCCAGGGAGAGGAGGCGGCATCACAACAGTGCGCTACATCGGTCAAGCTCTCAGACCCCACGTCATACCACATTTCGCACGTCATCGAAACAACTTTTTCCAGCATGACCACGCCCGTGCCCACTCCGCCAGAGTTACTCGGGACTTTCTACAGCACTGGTCAGCTTTTAGTCCGGACTTAAACCCGATTGAGCATCTTTGGGATGAAATTTAGAAAAGACTTAATAACGTCGTACCGAGACCAAACACAGCCGATGGATTGCGCCAGGCTTTTTTTCTGAGAGTGTGGTTCCAGGTGCCAATGGCGTTCATCAATCGTCTGGTCCACTCCATGTACAGACGCTGCGCTGCTGTTATTGACACTCGCGGTGGACACACCAGATACTGATGTATAGACTGTGTACAGACTCTAAACCTTCTCTTAATGTCTTGGAATTGTGATGAATTAATCACTAATGTGTCAACATACTGTTATGATTAAAGTGCCTCTCTGATTTTGAAATCTTATTGACGTTTTTGGGGGGGTTTTTTTGCTGTTTAGTATATATATTAGAAAGAGAATAACATACTTTTAACGCGTGTACAACGAACGTTTAAACATTGCCTTTCCTGCACTACTGACATGGGTGAAACCCCTTACTTAATTAGCAAAAACATATCAAGAACAACAACATAACCTACCTTGTCCACGACACACTTCGCTGTAGTTAAATAAACCGATGTTTAATAAACATACAAAGCTATCACTAACTCATTTATGCTGTCTATCACGGCCAGTTTACTGTCACGTGGATGAGAATTAAAAACGGAAGATATTACTCATACGAAATATTTTTGATATAATACAACGAGTCTGGGTCACCTATTGACACTATTATCATGCCGATACATATGCATCTTTTTATCGCAATGTATCGATATTACAATGGCATTCAGGATATCGTCAGTTATTCATACAAATAATATTGGTGTATTTATATCGATATACTGAAATATTTCTAAAATGTAGACATCAATATAACGTTTGGAGAGAAATGAAATGAAATGGCGTTAAACGTCCTACTTTTCTGCACTGACTGGGGTAATTAAGAAAGAAGTTTGAAGAGACATGTGGTAGTTTTGTTGTACATGATCATTGTTGGAGAAAGATGTTTTCAATTACTAATCCAGGTTAAGCCGAGGGCCACTTCTTCTTCTCCGCAATACATAATTTCCCCGAAAATGATGTCGTGATTTCTTTGTGTAATTTTCGGATTAATAGAACTAGTTACAATATTAGCAGTCGGTTTTCGAAGATTAGACTAAGCGTAGGGATTGTTTGAATAAATGACATACAGTGGGGGGTCAACGTCCTACTTTCGTACAGCCACCCAGAGTCAGGTCTAAATATTAAGGTCACCTGCAGATTTCCTCAAGGTCGCGAGATGTAAATAGGGTTAGGAAAAGTGATTGTTGACGAGATTGTGCGTTATATTTAAGAATTTGGGGGAGAGGTTAAGTCTCCACATAAGCACTGATCTGGGATGATGAAAATTTGGTTCGTGATATTTCCAAGATTTATTAAAAAATGCATGCAATACATTAGACTTATATACAAAATAGGTTAAACATTGAAGGAGCTGATGGTCTTCCTTCGGTGTCGCTTGTGGTATTCTTGTATATTTGTTTCTGAAGAAAAAAGAATAAATTTGAGGCTCTCGGGTGAAAGCCGCATTAGTGTGTTTCCTACTAAGGATTTGATTTTCTAAAAATGAGTTTTTCCCACTATCCCGGGGTTAGGGCTAGGGCTTCTTATAACTAGTTGATTTTATTTACTAAGGGTGAGGGCTACAGGGTTTGATATATTGTTTGCTTTGGGTTAGGTTGAGGACTGGTGTTTTTTAGTCTAATTTAGTATGCACTAGGATGTCGTTCAGATTTTTATTTTTAGAATAAAGTTTCTGTGTGAAGATTTTCGGGTGATTTTCTTGAAGATCAGTGTAGTGTTTACTGATGATTCTGGATGCACTTGCTACTGTTGCGCTAAATGGGAATACAAAAGGGGCTATTGCGCTAGCAGTATGAATATTCAAATATTCAAACCTAAGGGGGGGGGGGGGCTGTTTTTCTCTTGTTAGCCTAAACGTTTTAATTTGTTCTGTAGTTTCAATGCCGCTCAAAGTCTTTACTATTGGCGTGACAATGAGATGAGAAATGTCATGATTTGGTAGGCTGAAGTGAATTGAGACCGGTTTGTCTTTTTGGGTGACTATGTCTGACCGGTGACCATTAGTGCATTTTGGGTCCCCCCTACATATTGTTTGTCGCATTGTCTACATGGAATTAGATAAATTATGTTTGTACTACTACCTGAAAATTGATCTAATATTGGGAATTGTGTGTCAGATGTTTTGTTACGAAAATGGTCGGATATGTTTATCATTTTGCATGTTTGACATCTTGGGTGGCCACAAGTTTTGGTTTTAACTGCTGACTGAATATGAATATGATTTGTTTCTTTATTTTTTATACGTCGGAGACAGCGTTTGGAGTATCCCCTTTCTCTTAGTTTGCTAAATACCAGCATACATGCTGACTCAAAGTCGGTCTTCTGAGTGCATATCCTATAAAAACGGAGAATCTGAGTTTTTTATGATGCCAGAGAACGTATGTTTTGGGTGAAAGGGGCTTTTAACAATAATTGATGTGTGTCGGTTTTTTTGAAAAATACTTTAGTTTCTTTAAAGATGGGTTGGTCTAATTTAGTGTAATGTTTAGGATTATACACAACACGAGCCTTATATTATGTTTTTGTGTTTTTTGAGGGTGTTTAATGCCGTTTTTGTGATTGCGGTTAAGGGATACTGTTTTAAGGATGGCTGGTGATAATGACTTTTTAGTTGGTTTTCATGTGGATTTTTCTGTGAATAATGTTTACCTCTGCCGGATTTGTTCCTAAAACAATAAGTCAACTCCAATTAGTAAGCCAGCACCTCATCCACTAAACCACTGTGTCTCCCGGATCGTCAAAAGTTGCAGGAAACCGCGCTAAAACGATGTCCTTTTGTAGGCCCGACGGATATGATGTCTGGTCAATAGGAGACCCATATATATTTCTATATGATACTGATATGAAATAACAATTTATACTGGCCATTTTCAAGCAAGGTCAAATATGTCATTTCGTGATGCTTTCAAGAAACATATAAACCAAGAGGACCGCAAATAAGCACATTACAAAATCCTATTGGTTTCTGGATATAATATAATTACTTTAGTTAAACATACATTATGCAAGAGCTAAATCTGTCTATTGCAGGTCTTTCTTTAGGCCTGAAATGTTATCTAAATTATTAATTAGACATTAATTAACCTATCCAGACCATAATCAACTCTAGATGGCAACGCTAGCCTGCGACCTTTAGTGGATTATGAGCCGATTTACAGCATAACTTTCCTTCACGATTTAACGATTAAATGGATAATCGAGACTATGCTGTTTATCGTACTGACTTTAGTAATGATGACCAAGGCTAGGCGGAAATTTCAATCGCTTAGTTCTCGGTTCATAATGGATCAATTTGAATGAAATTTTCAGCAAATTGCCTTTACATTATCTAGTTTTTAATTATTATAGTGAGAACTGCCAACTCGTTATCGAATCTCCCATAATGTATCTTTAATACACAGCATATATTTAATAATTTTATAGGTGGTTAATAGTCGACTATCTTAACTTTAACTTTTTTATTTGCATTATACGTCCATATTGAGGACACCATATACACATCAATGTCTATGCATACAAATATAGATTATTTAACATACATCAATGTATATGCATACAAAATACAGTATTTAACATCGAATAATACAGGGATAAAATGATTAATACGTGAAGAAATAATGATAATAAAATTAATATATTATATTGTAGAAGATGCCAGATTTGGTATGGTATACATGTTCTACAAAAATGATCAATAAAGTATGACATAAGAAAATGAAAGTGAACATATCAAAATAAACTAGACATTAAAGATACATTCCCACGAACGTATTTATAGGGTATTTATTTTCTGACAGACGGCAGAAAAAGAAGTTGGGCAGGGTATAATCCAATAATTTACTTAGGCTTCCATAAGTCACGCGACAAACAAGGCTTTTTAAAATTATGTTTACGGCTTGGGGTATTTCCTTGCGTTTAAAATGTTTTGAAAGGGATTTGAAGCAAACTCTCATTAAGTTTGAATATGTCTTAGATCAAGTATTTCAGAAAATAAATTAAATAAATTAACCTAATAATTATCTATGTGAAGATGGACAGGTGGGTGACGGCAATATACGATCACATTAAAATGTGGGCATATATAAAACGGATGAAAAATATTACGATTGTAAGATCAGCTGCATACAACCCTGGCCTGGAAGCATTAGTCGAATGGGACATTTCAAGGAGATCATTCATAATATTGGTTATGTAATTAACGATTCGTTACAGGGGCGGATCCAGAGGGGGGTTATGGATGGGTGGGGGTGTAGGGTTTTTCTCTTTAAAAAACTCAGTGTTTATGTATATACGTGAAAAGGACGATAGAGACATGTATTTCCCCAAAATTTTTCAGTCTCAGCCCCCCACCCCCTGCAATAATTTCTGGATTCGTCCCTGAGTTATGATAATTCGGTGTTTTGGGGGGTGTGAAACATACACAGCTACCCTTCTGATATCAAGACACCTCATATAACAGCAATAATATCTAGTGGGCGAGTGTGGGATGGATCGTGCGCAGATGATGGTAAATCCAAAATATACTATCGTATTATTCTTAATTTCAATAGGATTCTTCTATATGACTCTATGTACACATGATGACTAGGTAATGATATATTTGATGGAAAGTAATACTCTTCTTCGACTGGTCAACATTGTTCACATTCTTTATTTAGAAGACCGTCCAAGATTAAAATATGATGAGTGGGTAACGATAAATGTGATGGAAAAAGTATACTCATTTTTGTACAGTGAGGGATGTTAAAATTGTTTAATATAAAGAATTTTCAATGTTCAATTGTGACGAGTGGGTTATGATTTGTTTTGAAGAGTGGGTAATGTTAAAATGCTTTATAATACTGAATTGGTTTTGATGAACAGAAATTGCGATGTTTATTTATTATTCTTTATAACTTATGTTGAAATCCAGCACTATTATAATGATTTGTCATTTTGTATTTATGAACTGGGCTCCAAGCTCTATTCATCTAGTTCTGGTTGGGTCAGAAACTGAGCACCAAGTGTATCCATCTTATAGTTCTTTGGAGCAACGTTCTTCGAAAAGAGTCTTAAAGCCCCGATCGACATGAAACTCGGCATGCTTTCGTTAGATAATTTCACATCCATTAACCGCGACTGAGGCCACAATTCTAAGATGGCGGCGATGGCGCCATGCTCGGTTCCTGGTCCATATTAGATAACTTAACAATCAACAACCCGTTAGGAAACTTAACAATGCGCCAGGGTAATCCTTTCATATCCATGTATTATTAATGTCTGGTACTAGTTATTGAAGGCACTGGTGATAACACTAATAGGTCCTTTCGGAGTATATCTACAACGATCTGCACCAATACTGCGTTTAAGAAAGATTAAACCGTGGATTAATTCTGAAGATCACTTTAATCATCTATGTCTCTATCACTTTCTTCTATGACATTAAGTTCGGGTCTATCAGGTTTATTTTCATCACTAAAGAAATACGAGACTTGCTCAAAGTCTGGATTTAAATCGGGAACTAACATTTCTATAATTTGTTTAAATGTTGGTCTCTGTCTGTCTCTATAACACCAGCATTGTAACATTAAGTCGTATCTGAATATACACAAAAGTAAACATACTTATAAAAAGTAATTTATGAAAAGAAGAATGAATGTGTCAACTCAACAGGGGCAAATCCAGAGGGGGGGTGGGGGATGGGAACCCCTCCCCCCCTGCTCAGCTACATAATTTTTTTTTGTAAATTAACAATTTTTATGAGAAAAGTTTCTGGGCCGTGTACTTTATCCTTTATCGTCAGATGTGGGACAGGATGGGCACTCAAAGCACGAGATAATGATATAGACATTATGTGATATCACAATTAATGCTTTGCATCCATAAAATTGAATCACAATGTCATTGTATTAATTCATAATAAAAATTGACGTCAAACGAGGTGTTGAAATTCTCTGTTTAAAAAGCTCAATGTGTATGTATATACGCCAAAATGACGATAGAGACCATGCGGGAGGGGGGGGGGGGGGAATACATTGTCTCAGGAACCTGCAAAAATTCCTGGATCCGCCCCTGACTCAAATTAAATTGACAAGTTGATTTCTTTTTAGACACTGTCTATTTCAGATAATTCAACCTGAGCCAATGTTAAGATTTTACAGATTTTTTTAAAAGGCGTTTAGTCTAAAAATTGATATGAAACGAAACAATCGTCCTGTGCTGTATCATGCGCCATGGCTTGGATTGGGCTATTAATTTCTTAATAATTTTTCTGCTTGTGAAAAAAAATGTCTACATTTGCCAATTCGTGGAGCCAAGCAACTTCATTTTACACACATTTGCACAAACAAACAAAAACAACCCTTTCTAAATGTGTTATTCAAGTGGTAAGTAAAAAAGTCTAAATCAACATATATAGCAAATATGGTCCGATTCCTTTTTGATATTTTAGAAGAAGAGAAACAAACTATTGGTCCAAAAAACTAAACAACCACCAAACATTATACTTAACAAATTTGAAGTACTTCCAAAGTACCATACTTCACAAATTTGAACAAGTACTTCCCATGCACTGTACTTAATAAATTTGGTTTAAAACAAATGAAATGAAATGAAATGGGGTTTAATGTCCTACTGTTTTGCTCCGAACTGGGCTAATGAAGACGGGCATACGCCATACAGTGTGCTATGAGGGAAATTTTGCCCTGACAGCGGCACTGCGGCCTACTCTTATATCCAATTCCAGCTGCCAAGGGATCTTTTACGTGCACGCCAATGTGTACACGGGACCTCGGTTTTTCGTCCCATCCGAACGACTGGACAGCTTTCCTTGTCAGCCCCTCCGTCCTGCATCACTGACAAGGGAGAACCACGCCGGAAAATCTGGATGAACTTTCTCGGCCAATGCAGGGATCGAACACCCGACCTTCAGGCTAGCGAGCCAGCGTCTTACCCACTTAGCCACGTGATCCCCGGTTTAAAACAACATTTATGGAATATATTAAGTGGCTTAGAAGAAAGACGGGAAAAACTTTTAAATTGGCCTCGCCAAGGTGCCGTGTGACTAAATTTTATCAAATCTAAATCAGTAGCAAGCAAAATTCCAAAGTTAGGGAACAACACTGAACAAGAATCTTGTTTGTAAGAAGATAACGTGAGACCGATCAACAGAACCTTTTCTTACCGAAATGTGCATGATTTGAGAGAGAGAGAGAGAGAGAGAGAGAGAGAGAGAGAGATGGGGTTTAACGTCCACTCGACACAAACTAGGTCATTTCGGGACTAACATATGGTTTAATTTTATTTCAATAATTCGCTTGCGCGTATAAGGGTCTTTAGCAGTGGAAAGAAACCGGAGGACCTGGAGAAAACCCACTAAGCTAGACAGGCGACCCTACTCCTTGTCACGTACAACCGGGGATTCGAAACCACGCCAGTTGACTCAATGACAGGCCTTATGATACAGCACGCACGTGCTAACCATTCGGCCATCCAACCCCCCTGCATGATTTGAATCAGAACCTATGTGCGAAGACGTCTAAATAAACACTATCCATGCAATATATACCTACACAAATCGAAATCGAAAATGTAAAAACTTAACGAACGGAGAACATAGGGTGCTTCTAGCCTACTCGACATTTGGCCAAAAGGTTCTGGAAATTTTGCTGCCAAATATAAATTTAAAAATGACAAACTTACAATTGATCCGGACACCCGTCAGGTTTTCCCAATAATTTTCCATCGGATACATATTTTAATACCTCCTCATTTGATAATCCCTGATATGGCTGGGCCGCTAGTGTTGTTATTTCCCATAAAACAATACCATAAGACCTTGAAATATAAAATGTCTGGCTTTTAGATTCACTCGATTTTGGAATAAAGCTGCATACATCATACTGATTTTCAGTTCCCGATTTGTCAGTGACATGTCTTCGTGCACAGAAATTCCCAGTCGCTATCATGGTTACGATGCCTTATCTCAAAGCTGAAATCTTAATACAGGGATTGGGGTGCACCCAGAAGAGGAGCATGGGTTACAAGTTGTTTTTAAGTGTTTACACATACATAAGTAAAATCAAACAATCTCATCCGTTCTGGTGGTTTGTCGGCGTTGGATTGTCTATTGGTAGCGCACATTCAACCAATAAGCGAAGTCGGGTTGCATCATTTACCCTACACCAATTACCCCCAATTAACCCCTGGTGTACCTAAAGCAAAGTTTAGCTTTAAATACTGAATGCATATGGGCATTTAGGACCCATCGTCTAGCTACAAGCAGGGCTTTGTGTCTTGAACCAGGAAGGGTATGCTTAACGTGTGTGTTTAACGTCCAGTCGACACAAACTTACAACCGGGAAATCGAAACCACGCCAGTTGACTCTATGCCCCCCTCAACCCCTTATCTCAGGAGTATACATGCATAACAAACGCCTTATGTTTTAATGCATGGAATTAACAAGCAGACTTACCAGACATCAGACATATTGGTATATATACCATCTTTTAATGATTCTGGTGCCATCCAACGAACTGGTAAAAGACTTTTCCCACCAATTCTATAATAATCAGTTTTATATATTTCTCGGGTCATACCAAAATCTGTTATTAAGAACAAATAATTGAGAATAAAAAATGTAATTAATTTTGAATATTCAGATTTTGAGTACTGTTTGGAACTGCGTGTCCCAACCTCAGAGTGGGTTGGGTGGCCGAATGGTTAGCGTGTGCGTGCTGTATCTTAAGGTCTGTCATTGAGTCTACTCGCGTGGTTTCGAATCCCCGGTTGTACGTGACAAGGAGTAGGGTCGCCCTACCTCGTTGGTTTTCTCCGGGTCCTCCGGTTTCCTCCCACTGCTAAAGACCCCTACGCGCAAGCGAATTATAGAAATAAAATTGAACCATGTGTTAGTTCCGAAATGACCTAGTTTGTGTCGAGTGGACGTTAAACCCCATTTCTCTCTCTCTCTCTCTCTCTCTCTCTCTCTCTCTCTCTCTCCCAACCTCAGAGGGTTAGTCCCATATCAGCATAATTACAGATGCAATTAGGGTCTGCTTTGGTCCCGTTTTGGAAAATAAAACTTAGTTTAGGTCCTAGTCTTATCAAAGCTGTATTTTAACAAAAACCAAGCAGGTTTATATTTCGGTCTTCATTAAGCCCGATGGTGCAAAAAGTAGGATATCAAACTCAATTTCATTTCACCCTTCCAAATGTGACTTCTAATGGAGTCACGGTGGCTAAGTGGGTAAGACGCTGGGTCGCTAGCTCGCTAGCCTGGAGGTCGCGTGTTCGATCCCTGCATTGGTCGAAAAAGTCCATCGAGATTTTCAGACGTGGATTCCCCTTGGCAGTTATAAGAGTAGGCCACAGTCAGAGCAGAACAGTGGGACGTTAAACCCCATTTAAGTTAATTTCTGTGACTTCTAATATCTTATATAAGATTTGTATACATAAATACGTACTGCCATGAATCTATATACATATATATTAAAGATCGAAACACACACCCAAAGATGAAATAAACTATTTACCCCCTATTTTCACCGAATTATCTTGTGCCACCATACAATTTCTGGCAGCTAGATCTCTGTGAACTAACTTTTTATCCGTTAAATAGGCCATTCCATCAGCTATTTGTCCTATTATCTGTAAAATTTCCATTAAAGTTGGTGGTGGTAAGCAATTCTCTCCCTTTATTGGAAACAAAATCCATTAAGACATTTAGTGTATTCCAATGTTTTTTTTAAAACACGCTATTAGTTCTAAAATTCCAGAATAGAACGGAAGGTTTTGTTATTCATGCGAACAAATTTGAATAATCTGAGTCTGTGGTTCTCTCTAAGCGGCGAATGCCAAAAAATGGGATAATGCGACCTGATGATCGGGATTCCTTTATAATCCGCGTATTTTTTTTTTTTTTTTTTTTTTTTTTTTTATTCTCTTGAAAAAAATTGGAAATACCGGAAAATTCACAACGAAACGAAGAAATGCTATGTGGTGATAATACGAGAAGGCGTCTATTAATTTTAATACTATTATATGTTGTTGTATTTTGTATGAGGAACTTTAAATTGTAAGCAAATACAACAGAGTAAGATGGGCTTGTTAATTAAGTACAACACAGAGCTGGCATTCACTAATCAAGTGCAGCCACTTCCTGTCATGTGTTACTGCTATGTTGAAACAATAAAGTTATCTTCAATAATCAGTTAGTCAATATGAGTTAGCCCTTTCGTTATCCATTGGAAACTCTAACAATGTTTGCCATCCATGCAAAAATATAACACTTGTCTTCTATTCACTTAACTAAGTTTTATGATCGATAAACGGGGCCAATTTCATTGTGAGTTTTCCGGTAGTTCTAATTTTTACAGGAGAGTAAAAATATACGCGGGAAATTAAGGAATCCTGATCATCAAGTCGCATTATCCCAATTTTTTGGCGTTCGCCGTTCGTCATTTTGGGAGAGTCATAGACACCGTTTGAATAATCATTACCTAAGCAACATATGTACCATTTGTTTGAAATCCACTGAATGGTTTAGAAAAAGAAGTCGACAACGTCTCAATCAAGTTACTCATGCGAATGAGCACTACACACGCAATATACCGTCCATATGTCATGATATGTGGTTAAGGTCCAGTATATGTTTACGAGACTACGTCTGGCGCCACGATTGTAGTTTCCAGCAAGAGCTTCGTCAAGTTGCGGTTTTGAACGTCTGAATCCACCCTCGGTATCGCCAGTGGTATCGTTCCGTTCTACTCCACAATACTCTGGGTTCATTCACGGGGGAGACACCTAGTCAAGTTTTATGATTGATCCGTAGAATCAAAAACGATCAAGGGTAGATAATTTGAATCCGTGAAAACCCCGTGAATGAACCCTGTGTACTGGAATAGAACGGAACGATATCACTGCGGATACCGATGGTGGTCTGAATCCGATTATGAACAGTTGCTTCCGGTGATATTCGACCTGTCCACAAGGAGAAGATATCACTATCGGCGATTAGACCCTGTATATGGCGCGAACTCCAATCTTTAAATTTTCTTCTTTGCAATTTCAACACGCATTTAACGGTTTGCTTTCTTCTAATTGAAAAGAGCTTACCTCAGCATCCGGTCTGTGAAGACGTAAAAACTTCTGTAAATCTCCATTGACCATTAATTCCATTATAACTAGAGCTGGTTGTCCTTTTGATACAACACCCAAGAGTTTTACTACATGATGACAATTAAAGGCTCTATAGAGTAAAATTGGATATTATGGATCGTAATTATTCTAATAAATCTACTATCTATAGTATGGGAAGTAATAATCACTTGTTAAATATACCAACTATCTGATATACACACGGGTTACGGGAGATGCTGTCCATAAAAAATATTATAATTCCATGATGAACTGCACCAGTTTTTTAAATTTTCCCACAAACTCTATCATTTATTGTGTCCATATGCTTTAAAAGTGAAGCCGTAAAATGGGTCGTAACTCTGTGATTTAAGATTATGAAGCAGTGAACGTTTACATATTTCTGCAAGCACGTCTGTGTTGTGGTCTGTAATTCCGACCTAGGTTATCTCGCGAAGTTGTATGGAGCTAATGCATATAAAATTAATTGTGGCTAACCCGGTCCAAAAATGTACAGTAAGAGCAGTTCTAAAATACCAGCACTGTTTTGGGACATAAGCCTAGTGTAGTGTTACACCTGGTCTGTTCATTGGATGTTGATTGGCCAGGGCCTCAAAGATGGTGATGAGAGATGGAGCAGTTCATCACTCGATATTTTACTGATCGACGTTTATGTAATCGATCAAGGCCATCCCCAATAAGCTATTGGTCCACTTTCAAGAACATAAGCTTGCCAGGTAACCAATATACACCCATCAGTAGGTTTTTGGAAGTAGTCAAAAACAGTCATAGTAAATAAGCTCAAACCGGAGTGTTTCGATGACAAGGACAATAACTCTGCCTAAAATTGACGCACGTTTCACAATTTCGATAGGCCTCTCCATGGAAGTTTGATTAACCGACGGACGTGGGCGATGACAATAAACTTCCACATAAGATGAACGCATATACCACACCCTCCTGAATTTAAGTGTTAAATGCATTGGATTGACTACAAAATATCTATTTAACGTTCAGTGGTTTGGGTAAAATTGCTATAACGTGTTGGACTTACTTCATTATAGAGGCCTCTTTTAGAAAGTTTCGTCTATCATACCAACTTACATTTCCATTCATAACCTGTTTATATAATTTCAAAATAAATCCAATGATAATCGAATTATAAAGCGAAGTAGGTCGCATGTTAATTAGTATAAGTATAAATGAAGGTCGTATACCTCCTTTACCCCATTTCGGTCTCCAAATGTTATAAGTTTAAACCAATGAAAGGAAATGTTTATCATCATAAAACGACATAGTTGCTATTGAGATACCAGACCATTAGTAAATATCAGTTTTTGAAATATTTAAGGACGAAAATACTGGAATTTTGTTCAAACAGTGACGTTTCCATCTATACTTTTGATTTCCATTATATACGGGTTATTTTACGTGGATGCCACCGTGTACGGGTGGAGCGCTATTTTCCGTATCACCAGAACGATTTGGGGCACATATTTCTTTTCAGCCTCGCAGGCAGGCGCTACTACCCGAGAAGTAAAGGTCGAACTTGAAAAACATTGGAGGGTCTTCTGGACCCACACCGGATTCGAAACCGGGACATTCGACTACTGCGAACCACAGTCTTTAAAGGAGAAAATGAGAGAAAAAGATATACTATAAAGGGCAGTGGTTAGCTCGTACGCGCGGTATCATAAGGTCTGCCATTGAGTCAACTGGCGTGGTTTCGATTTCCCGGTTGCAAGTGGCAAGGAATAGGTTGCCTATCCAACCTCGTGGGTTTTCTCCGGGTACTCCTGTTTCCTCCCACTGCTAAAGACCCCTACGCGCAAGCAAAATACTGAAATAAAATTGAACGACGTGTTAGTCCCGAAATGACCTAGTTTGTGTCGAGTGGACGTTAAACTCTCTCTCTCTCTCTCTCTCTCTCTCTCTCTCTCGGAGAAGCGTTCATTTAGATAGTAATTCAGACGATTAAAACAAAAAATATATAGGTTAGATACCAACTTTCGCTCGATGTTCATGTACATCAGTAGCAACAAAGATGGCGGCTTGAAATAAATGGAAAGTGATGTGAACTTTAGTTGGTCACAACATATACTAATGCGAGGAGTGGTTATCATGCGCTGACCAGTGCGCTTTCGTAAGACTACTGTTTGTTGTATCTGGAAGTCTGTAATTATTTTCCAGTTATGAGGGGATCACGTGGCTAAGTGGGTAAGGCGCTGGCTCGCTAGCCTGGAGGTCGAGTGTTCGATCCCTGCATTGGCCGAGAAAGTTCATCTCGATTTTCCGGCGTGGTTTCCCCTTGTCAGTGATGCAGAACGGAGGGCCTGACAAGACAGCTGCATAGTCGTTCGGATGGGACAAAAAACCGAGGTCCCGTGTACACATTGGCGTGCACGTAAAAGATCCCTTGGCAGTTGGAATTCGATATAAGAGTAGGCCGTAGCGCCGCTGCCCGGGCAAAATTTCCCTCATAGCACACTGTATGGCGTATGCCCGTCTTCAATTTAACCCAGGTTAGGTGCAGAAGCGTAGGACGTTAAACCCCATTTCATTTCATTTCCAGTTATGAGTATATTGTGTCTTTAAATGAATCTAATCTTTTGGTATTGAGTTGAGATATATTCTAACACAGTCACTTTAACTGTTATTTAAACAATGGTATCTAGATCACAGCCATTATGGGACAAAAGCTTTCTCTTAATGGAACAATGGTTGCAAGCATTATCAGTTCGGCAGCGTTACTATAATTAATTCACTTGGTTATCTCCCTGGGTATGTTGTCACTCCTAATATTTCTCTTCCGAAAGATACTATACATTTATAAAATCTTGAATGAAGTAGACGAGAAAATTATCGATTAGTCGACAAGGCAACTGAATAGAACGATGAAAACAAACGTCAATAACAGCTTGCTAAAGGGCTGATAATACCCGCTTGCTACCATTGCTTCGAGAGTATCAACAATGCAGCAATGTAAAATCTTATAATCTATATACTAAATTATATTGTAATACAATTATATTGACATTTAGAACACACTTAATTCTACTTACTTTTATAGCTACTCTTGTTTTATTACTTTGATCAAGTTCATCATTTAGTACACCTTCCCACACCATACCAAATGTTCCTTTACCAATTGCCTTCACAAATTCAACCTGATCCCTGGCTAATTCCCATTCATCTGCATAATATACTAAAATATACAGAAATAAAATCGTTAATAATACTCACAAAAAGCTTCAGGATTAAAACAAAGATTTATTGAAATGAAATGAAATGAAATGTGGTTTTATGGCACGCCAGCTCCAACCGGGCTATATTGCGCCAAACATAAGATTTATTGAATAAAACATTCTCAATTCAAAACTGATAACAAAAAATATGGTGTAGCAAAAATTGATTATGACTTACTACCACAGATAGCGGCATAAGCTGGATTGTAGGAAATGGTTGTCATGTTTTCGGCCTTGACCCTGTAAGTAAAGTCAGATACAACCAGATGGAGAATTATACGATTGTTTGATTTAAACTGGTATGAGATGAGAATTAAATATTAATTAATAGGTATATATACCATAACGCACCTAACAAGACCCATGTAACGCACTAAACACGACGCAAACTCTATCCATGAAGTAATGACTATATCTGACAGTTGTTGCTGTCTAGCAATCTTACTGTATACATATTTCCATAAGCACCTAAAGTCAACAAACCACTGTTCAGAATTTTCCGCTTAAAGGTGTCCCTATTCGTACCGAGCAACTTCATTTGATCAAATCTGAATACTCACAACCCCAGCAGTAAACCCAATGTTTTTGTATTAAATCTATCATTTGATTTAATAGAAGTAATCGCGACCAATGTCTAAATTTGTCTCTTTTAGTTGCCTTTGACATGAACCTATGGTGCCGATGTGGTTTCGAAGATGGAACTGACTAAATGTGTGAAAACGGTCTAAATTTGCCTCAAAGGAATAAACAACTTCATTTTATCAAATGTGAATATCAATAAGCACCACCCAAACAACATCCGAATTAAATTTAGTCGCAATGCAACAAGAGGCTTAGAAGAAGAAATCCCTATGAAGCCAATCAACTTCATTTGATCAAATCTAAATATGTATCACCCACGCAAAACACATACCACATTAGGTTGAAATCAGACAACCTGTTCAGTGCCCTTATGTGCCCTAAGATCAACTTTATACTTAATTTGGTTCATAGAGTAAAGGGCTGGGTGGAAGAATGGGCCAAGGACAGAGCTATGACATAAACACTTTGGGCCGAAAACCACCAGAATATCTAAATAGATTACTTTATACTGAGATTAATTTTAAACAACTTACTAAGATTTTGTTTTAAACAGCTTATACTTAGTTTAGTTTTAAACAACTTACTTATAGATTTGGTTTTTAAAAAAAAAATTACTTAGATTTAGTTTCAATCCGAAAGCCTACTTAGATTTAGTTAATACAATTACTTAGAGGCAGTTTGAACAATTAGCTAAAACAACTTACTTAGATTGAGTTAAGAACCAGACAGTGAGTGCAACGATTGTTATAAGTAATATAGCAGAGACAACGGTCACGGATATATAAGTTCCATATAAACTTGGCTTCTTGACACCTGTAAAGTCCATTAATATTGCTTTTGATAAAGATATCGGTTTTGGTTTGAAGGTTCTGTTTATAAAGAATACTAGAAGGTGATACGACAAGGACACGTGCACATTGGATCACAAGGCATGATTGTCAACATGCAAGTCATGTGCATCTTGGGGTTTGTAACAAAACAAGGAGTGTTGTCGTCTGACTACCCTAATGGACGTTTTCTTGTCACAAATGTCATCCCGAGACCTTACTTGTTAATTAACTGGGGGATTGAATGGCCGAACTGTCATTGAGTCATCTGGCGTGGTTTAGAATCCCCAGTTGTACGTGACAAATTAAAAATTAAACCATATGTTAGTCCCGAAATGACCTAGTTTGTGTCGAGTGGACGTTAAACTCTCTCTCTCTCTCTCTCTCTCTCTCTCTCTCTCTCTGTGTGTGTTAATTAACTGGTAAAGCTCTATAAATGTCTAACGTGGAATGTTACTCTCAGCCATTAATCTTGACCATTACTCTTTCGCAATTTTTGTAACATGAAGACCTCGACCGGAATTCGTGGAATAAAGTGAATTGCCCATTTTTTTCATTTTCATACCCAATAAATGGAATCTTTTTTTTATGAAAATGTAAATAACCTGATGTGACAGGTTTTGATACTCAGCCTTTGTCGATTGGGCCAGTTCGACAGTTTCGAGCGAGCTTCGTCAAGTTGCAGTCACGAATGGTTGATTCCGGTCACGAACGGCAACTTCCGGTGACGAAGGCATTGTTCTCAAGAAGAAGAGAGTAGAAGCCCAGAAGATAACATTAACATATTTCAAAAGACAAGTTTGTTTATCGTTTATAATCTTACCAGCAGGTGCTTGTATATGAAAATATCTTGCCTCCGTCCAAGTTCCATTTGTAGCTAAGGATGTGGCTCGAATTCTAAAGGAGTAATTACCGGGTTTAATCTGCTGTAACAGAACACCGGAGTTTTCCAGGTATTTGTTCTGTGACAAACAAACCCGCGTATCCTGGAAACAGAATTCTGAAATAGTTGACTCACCAGTAATATACTTACATATTTAACATATATGTATAAGAAGTTCTATCTTGCCTTCTAGAAAGAGTAAGAATATCCTACCTAGTGTACAACATCCGTCACCACTTATTTCTAACTAAAGTGATTATTTGGACCTGCAATTCCGATGCCGATACTTTTGAGTAGACGATAATAAATAGGCCATGGTGAAAAGTACAACATAAAAATTGATAACTATGTGAACCCCACAAATCGGAAGATGTATCTAGTGTTCTAGAAAGAGTATGCACTCCATGCCTCGTACACGACACCCATCGACACTTCAACTAATTTGTATAATGATATAGGTCTGGGGTTCAGCATGAGAAGCTACTGGGTAGAAGATTAAAAAGTGGAGATAAATCTGTGCCGTTTGGCATTTCAATGCTCCCTCTACGTTTAAGTTTAACGCTGATTGAAAGTGGAACAAAATGTTAAAACTAAGAATACGTAAATACTTACTCCATGATCGCCAAGCTTTCTATATCCTATATCAAATGATATTATTACACCATTTGGATCAGTGGGGGCTTCCCAAAGAATCAAGACATCACCGGTTTCATTTATATTCACTTCAATGGAGGACGAATTAATTAGGTCTGCAGTGGCTTTAAAAGTTAGAACATTGTTAAATAGTCATTATTGGACTGAAAATAAAAACTGCAATCTGATAACAATTGAGCAGTTTAGCTCACCGGGTATATCTGTGTACTATCATAACCTCAATCAATGTTCTTAAGATAAATTCTGGCTCATTAACAAGGAGCCCGAGAAAGTTCCTTGGGATTTTATAACATGGTTACGCCTTGTCGCCAGTGGTTGGGACGGATGGCCTGGAAGTAAAAGTGTATCGTCGTTTGGATGGAATTAAAACATAGGTCCATCTATACCGTAGACAACGTGTTATAGACCTCCTCACGGTGGAAATTCAAAATGAGAGTAGACGTGACTCTGTCCGAGCAAAATTTCCCTTATAGCACACTGTATAGCACATGATCGTATTCATAAGCCAGACTGTTGCAGAAAGCTTAAACGTTAAGCCCATTTAATTTCAATCCGAGTCTCATTAATTAGAGATTTGGGTATTCACATATAATATGATAAATAATATATTTAACTAATAAAATAGCCAATTGCTTTGAAACTCCGGAATAGTTAGTACATTGTACTTACGTGATGGCAGTGTTCTGCCACTGCCAATAGCGGATTCAGATTCGTCACCACATAAATATTGTCCTGTTTCTAAGGGTTCCTGACAAGCATACACCTGTAAGATGTTAATTCCCTTTTTGTTAAACTGATTTCTTACTTTTATAGGTACAATTCTTTAAAACATCGATTCAAAGACTAGTTACGTTCTTCAAATAAAATATTACCTTGATACTGTAAGACTCAAAATTTCCCAGATTTGGAAGGATGATGTATGTATCATACACTATAGCGTGGTAGTCGGTGAAATCTTTATCCTCCTCGACTCTTCCCACACTTTTACCATTACCAATTTCTTCAATCTTTGGGACTCTACGTTTATACCTATCTTTATTATTCTTTGAAGATGAAGGAACAGGGATTGCCATCAGATCAGCGAGTGTAAATGGCAATGTGTTCTTTTTCTTCGTTGTGGGCACTTTTGGTTGGAAATAATTTAGTTCGGGAAACGGTGCTATTGACACTGAATTACTTCGATTATCAGTCATGGGATATAACTCCTGCTTCTTTACATCCGTCTGGTTGGATTGGGTTGGTACCTCAACATTCATCAAGTCCGTCACTGAAAATGGCAACAGGTGCTTTCTCTTTTTCATTAAACCTGTCTCTTTTAGTTCTTTCAATTCTTTTAAGACATTTTTCAACACTTTGGATTGTGGTCTAAATACATAAGTACAACAGAAATGTGTTAGTTCAGCATATACAAACAGATCAACCATGAATGCGTTTTGAAAAAAAAAACTCTGTAATTTTAAAAAGGAAAAAAAATCACTTTCTTTATAAATTAATGTTGAAATTGATTTGTTTTCCTCATTCTGTATTAACATTCATTCCATTTAGATCAAATGAAATAACTCAGCTTAAAGGTGATCATGATCATAAACATATTTACAATTTCATATAGACGATGTTGCGTAGAAGAATCTCAAATTGGTGCGGATCTGGGTGTTCAACAATCGCTTTATCAGCCTCTTCCTCATCCGGCTTTCGACAGGTACAACAGTTAGTTTCAACAGATAATGTGGTATTTCTGATCGTTTTGTCTTCCAACCACCTTTGCTCAAATCCATGCGTCTTTTGTTCAAAATCAAGCGCTTAAAACAAGAATTGTTAAACTAATTGTTTATTTTCTCTTCTTTCTAATTTAAAAAAGAAATACATGGGGACTTATAAGCTGTACACATTTTATCATTCCTAATCTGACCGGCGACCCTAGGAATAGAATTTATACACCTCTACCGAGTAAGCTAGAGGGGCGTCCCATGGACTGAACCAGTAGGAAGTACATTTAAACACGAGACAGCACATTAATAGAGTCCCCAGATATACGAACGGCTACACAGCAAACCACATATTTACATTCCTGCTAACATGTCTACCCTAGCTTCAAAAATAAGGCACATACTCCAGAATCAGACGATGGTGTGTGGGATGTTCTGCTATAACCACATGGTTTTTAAAATCGTTTACTAATATTATGAAAAAGTATTTTAAAGTATCACAAAGTAAGCTTAGCAACAAAACAACAAACACCAACCAACAGTATTTTAAGGGTGGCTTTCAAGATGTTTCGCTTTATTTCACTTGCAGCAAATTTGATGAGTGTTTACAATAATTGTAAACTATTGCATAGTGGTGACAATTTACTCCCTCATTATGTATGGGTGTGTAAAACCATGACAACCATTCGTATTTCTTATTGTCGTAAAATTCTGAAATCGTATCGGATAATAAAATTATGTAATGGTGAGCAACTTACGTAATGAACAGTAATCTCTTTTATAAAATTCCGTCAAGGCTAAAGTCTGTAATTTCCAATAAACTAAATAATGTGTTACGTTTCCATTTGGTTCATCTGGTGGATTCCATTGAACAAGTAGCTCTCCACTTTCTTTCGCTAATATCTTTAAATTTGTTGGTCTTGATGGGTCTTAAAAAGAACGTCAACGTGTTTTGACATGAAACAACGGATGCATCCGCCAGCACAGATAAATATGTAATGTTGTGCTAAAGAACTCTAATTCAGTAGTTCGACCTTACTATGAATCAGGAACCAGCCATCTTGGAATTGTGACGCCCAAATTATCAAAAGAACAAGGATGCCAAGTTTCATATCGATTGTACTCAAGAACAAGAACAAGATTACCCAGTGCATAGAACCAGTTCCGTTTTACAAATTTGTATAAATGCTGTGGACACCAACAGGATTATGCAGTGTGAAAATCAATAAGGTTTGGCAAACAAGCGGGCTTGCATTTGAATATGATTAAAATCATAAGTGGCGACTGTACTACCTACAAATTAATATCATAATATCCAATGCCTTTAATGACACTCGGTATTCACAATTCATTTTTATGTACGCATCTTATATAACATTTTTCAATAAAAATATATCACTGTAGCCTATAACTAAAACGTTATTTTTATACTTACTTAGGGGTTTTGTTTTAAAGTAGACTATATTAGAAATCGCTGTTTTGGGAGCTGAACCGACAATAAGAGGTTGAACATACGCTGCGTATAATGTCCAGGCTGTTAAGTTGTACATAATACCAATTATTTCAGGGCTTTGGTTATTTATTTCTGGGTCCTTTTCGAACTTTTTCCACCTATTTTTTTTTTTTTTAAAAAAAAGGAAGTGACAAAAATAAAAAAAAACATAATCTTAAACTTCTGCAAGTTGTTGAGGATTAACATCCGCTTCCATCAATGATCATATCGCAGACTGGTGTTGCTAAGAAACTTGCCAGAGAGGTTATTCATGTTTGAGAGGAAAATCCAGTTCGACTTAACTTCTGGTTTGGAAAAAAGGAATATTTGGTTACATAATACAAAAATTTCATTATTACGTTGAATAACATTTTCAGCTTTTATAAAGACGGTTGTAACATGAAATTTCATTATCAAATATATATTTCTACGCCATATTTCAAATATCATTTTTGTTTCAACAAGGTCGTGCGTTAAGTCAAATTAGAAAAATCGATCAGCTTTAAATTTGTAAGACTCACATATCCAGAAAATGGACAATCTTGGCATTAAAATCAGTAATAAATATCCCCGAGCTCTTGGACTATTTCGACAAAGTCAATGGCATATAATATAAATTCAGATGGGCACATATTAATTTTTTTAAAAGTGTACTGTTGATTGCAGTTCAACATAAGCTATAAATTGAACTATTATTCTGGTTGTTTATTGTCCCTTTAATATTTTCATTCGTTATATCAAAAAGATAATACACAAATCTGTGCTTCACAACTCACTCAGATCGAGAACACGCATCTCTTCCTTGAAAAATATCCACATTTTTAGTTTCTCTGAAATAACAAATTCATAATAAAGTTGTAAGACAATTTACAAGTCTTTTTATTGTCGGATAACATCATGATATTCCACCGTTATCTTTATGCTTTGCGGAGTCTATTTGCTCCGAATGAATCCAAGAGATCATCGAGCTTTTATAGGTTTGGCACGTCCAAATGCGATTAAGAACACTACGGTATTAAACTCACACTTTTCTGTAGTAAACCACATATCCAAACAGCATATTTTGATCAGGTAAAAAGAATTTCTGCCATCTTAAAATGGCTTCTCGTTCTGCTACTTGATGAACTTCAAGCTTTAAAATTGTCACGGCACCTAAAAGTAAACTGTCATGATTTACTTTGAGAGATTAAAATTTGAATAGCAGTGTGTTTCACAAACCCAATTTAATCTTTGATAAAAGTTGACCCTACCTAGACTATACTTAATTTGCAATTGCTATTTTATTAACTGCATGATTAGGGGCGGCATTTTTTGGTTTAGTACAATTAATATCTACGAAGATCGCGCCTTAGTTTAAAATGTTTGGTATAAAAATAGTCATGACAATTCAGTACCGTCCATCAGCCTGGGAATGATAAGAAATAAAATGAAATGTAATGGGGTTTAATGTCCTACTGTTCTGCTCCCACTGGGTTAATAAAGAAGGGCATACGTCATACAGTTTGCTATGAGAGAAAGGTTACCCTGACAGCGGCACACCGTGGCCTACTTTTATTTATGGGTTCTTTTACGTACGTGTAAATGTGTAGACGGGACCTCGGTTTTCGTCCCATCCGAACGACTAGATGCTGTGCCTTGTCAGGTTCTGAGTCCTGTCCTAATATACAGTGCTCGACAACATAGCTTACATAAGGTTTCATCATGCCTCATCCGCAGTTACATATACTCAAAAAAGTAGGGGATATTCAGAAACAATACAAAACTGCGGAAATGCACAGCTGTTTTTATTAGAGGTAACCAGTGTATGTCAATTGCCTACACATGAACATAAACAGTTCATATGGGCGGCTTATCTGACGGCCCCATTTCACTCGCAAAGAGATACACTGTCAAAAGTGAAAATGGACGTTTTTGTTTTTTGTCTTAATAGGGAGTAATTGCTCCACCAATCCTCAGACATTCAGCAATTCATCGTGGCATGCTCCTAATCAACCGTCCGATCAAGATTTGGGGCAATCTGGCACACTCCTCTTGCAGTGCCACGGCCAATTCTTGCAGTGTTGTCGGTTGACGTTGACATCGATGAACACGTCTCCCGATCAAATTAAACGTAACACACTAAAACATAGATACGCTAAACAGTAAATCTTATGCAAAAACCGATAGGAAAGCAAACATGGATAGACAAACCAGCACGCGGCAGTTTTCATCAACCCTTCCATGAAGTGCCAAATTTGACAATGAACCCCTCCCACGTGTATGGCGCTATTGCGTGTCGCATGTGCAGCTCAGTGGTTCTGTTGGGGCGATAAATTCTTCATCTGTGAACATACTCTCAAAGCATGTCAAGTGTCCATGACTATTTATCATATCACAACCTGCATAGGTATTTGCATTTCAATATCCCCTCCTTTTTTTGAAGAGTATATAAACATAAATGTTGCTCTATATAAATGACACCAACTCGCCTACCTCTAAAATATCCTATATTTTCCTGTAAACTATGATACACCACTAAATGTACCTGTGTTGCAGGGACAGACTGGGTAGCTCTGGTCCTAGGACCAACAGGTTTCCATGACGAGAAAACGAAACTAGCATGATTCGCCTTTCCCGCAATCGACTCTAAGATCATTTTTCTCTTCGAATCTAGGCCATTATAAATATCAGTGGATGCGAAGGTGAATTTATACATTTTGAAGATAAAAAAATTCCAATCAACAATTAACTCAACTTACATGGAATAGAATCACCATTTAAATCTGGGTTATCATCATCTCTGTTTGTGCGGTTAACCAGACCCACATCAGATAGAAAGCTTTGGATTTTAGAATAACATAATTTACGATTGTACTGAAACTGTGCCTTTCCTCGTTTGATCACCAGATTTTTGGATATTTCTGGTGGAAAGAGTTCTTGGAGGTTGGGGTTGTCTATAACTACAAGACTGTATCTGTAAATAACTCAAATATGAGCATTCATAGGCAACATCAAAATATCAATGGCGTTAATCGAGGAATCAGGGGGACCTGGGAAAATCAGATGAACCGGGACAATTTCGCACAATATATATACGACTCTGTTATACATTGATGTTATTCAATTTCCGGCAAATTATTTAAATTTGCTGCCGGTATTTAGTCTGAAAGTACAAGGCCTATTTCATTCGGCACAAACGTAACAGGAAAAGGGTCGATTTTTTTCAGTCTAACACACGGATATTTTTATCTGTGGTCACCTGTGCAGTACTAGAAGGACAATTCTGCCCGTATGGTTGTGTTCTCGCATACATTCTTTAAATTCCAACTGTCAAGGATATGTTTACGTGTAAGCCAATGCGTACACGGTTAGTTCAAACGGCTTGGGAACACGTTTCTTGTGAGCTCTGAATGTGTTAAAAGCTTACCCAAACATAACAATATCCATTCAGTTTGACTGTTCAATTGTTTTCAATAATGGTATCTCCCTATAATACCATTCCTGTCCCTTAAAGACAGGGGCTATGTTGACAATTTTAGTTTATCCAAAAACAAAAGTCAGTGAACAAGACCTTGCTGGTTCACTAAACATAATTAAAAGATGGGGTACACTTTAAAGGTATAAAAGAAACAATTCATGTCAAGTGAAAAGCGTGCGCGCGCTGTATCATAAAGTCTGTCATTGAGTCGACTGGCGTGGTTTCGAATCCCCGGTTGTACGTGACAAGGAGTAGGGTCGCCTGTCCAACCTCGTGGGTTTTCTCCGGGTCCTCCGGTTTCCTCCCACTGCTAAAGACCCCTTCGCGCAAGCGAATTATTGAAATAAAATTAAACCATATGTTAGTCCCAAAATGACCTAGTTTGTGTCGAGTGGACGTTTAACCCCATTTCTCTCTCTTTCTCAAGCGAAAAGGGTTTATTCTTATCTAAGAATCAGAGTGAATAGAATCGCTGTGTACAATATTTGGAGGTTTTTAGGAAATAAACAGATTTGAAAGTCAGAGAATGGTTGAATAATTTTAACCCAGACATTCCCATTAACAACGACTAAATTACAAATAAAAACGTGTTTATGGCTATTTTAGCATAATAATTTTAACATTTTCCATGGAGTTTTTTTTTATCGATTTTTGGGGGCGGGTTTGGAGAGGAATTTGATAACGTATTTGTTGCTTACTTGTTTGGTTTTCTGTTAAAATCACCTGGACCTCGTCCATGAATAACTTTAAGGTTTTTAAAGAAATGTAGAGATAGAATTGGGTAAGATTTTACTATCTTTATATAATATGTAACTTCTTCTATGGCACCCAGACTTTTTTCTAGCTTTTCGTCGATATTAACTTGAAAAAAATAACATACAGAATATCAATACAGAATATCACCAATGAAAACGTAAAAATATGCATATAATATATTAATGGTAAATAAATGGTCATATTCTTCCAGATTATAAAATATATAGCTAACCCTCGAGAGTGTTTTTGAAATAGCCAAGTTTGTGGTAGCGAGGTTTAACTAATAATAACAGTGAGTTCTTATAATGCGCACAGATCTATCAAGGCGCATTTAGCTCTTCACTTTTCACAAGATAGAAACACAGTTAATGTTAATAAGCAGTCTGTCTTTAAATTCTTCTTAAAACAGCCAAGCGATTGTGAATTCTTTACGGTCAAGTTTGATGAATTCCATAGGTTTTGTACAGTGTATTTTAAACATCTATGACCTAATGTCTTAAGTCTATAGTTGGGTATCACAAGTTTATGTTGGAACTGAAGAACCCTTTGGGGACATAATAACCAAGCTTTGGGGACAAGTAGTTTGGTGCTTCACCTTTTGACATTTGTATGCTATGCACAGAAGTTTGAACTTAATTCTGCTTTCCACTGGAAGCCAATGTAAATCCTTTAACAGGGGTGTGATATGGCAATTATGACCACTATTTTGTATAAGCTGTTGCTTATGCATGACAGAAGGCTACTGCAGTAGATAAGATTAAACATCGAACCTGCGCATGTTCTGCATCTTTTGTGATCAAATTGCGGATTTGGCGTATGACCTCCAATGAAAGAAGCTTGTTTCTCCGAGCCGAGCTCCGAATCAAGATAAACGCCAAGATCTTTCAGGTTATCAATCAATTTGATTGTGGAGTCCGCGATTGTTATTGACTTTTGACTGATGTTCAGAAGTTGTTCTTTGGTGTCACACAACAGGACTTCTGCCTTGTTATCGTTCAACTTCAGCAGCAACTCAAAGCATTTTCTGTATTCCAAATTCAACATTTCATTTTTGGAGGAGTACAGATGGATCGACGGTGTCGAATACATCATCAACAGCCGATCTGATGCCATTTACAACCTTTAACTAACACATATACATAATATAACTAACATCGACATAAGTTATCTTAGTGGAAAATGGCTTGAGATGTTTTAGAAAGCTAATACTGTTTAAATGTCTGTGCCAAAACAGAAACTTAGAGATATCGTTATGTCTCATTCAAATTCAATCACTACACTATTTCAGCACACTGAAAGACGCAATATAAGATTCTCAATCTAAAATAACTTATGGTGTTTGTGACTATATACTTACTGCCTCCATCGATCTTAATAACAATAGGTCCATTAATAATAGTACATCCAGTATAATTCTGCGCAGAACGAATACTATCAACAAGACCTCCCAAACATTCTATGATCAAATTAATATAAAGACTGTACGTAATATCATTACAATAATGTAGTTACTCTATTTAAAGAGTATTATATTATGCTAAAACAAATTTGAAACATAGGACATATTGGGATCCTGAGGTAAAGATGATAAATATTCGGATAATTTATAGATCTATA